TATTATTAAGTAGTATATATATATATATATATATATATATATAATGCAAGTATTATTATACCTTTTGATGATAAAGACTAAAAATTGCGGATGTAAACGTAGTAAAGATGCCTCCTGCAAAATTTGGAGCCGTTTCTAGATTGTCGATTAGCACGTTGTAAAACAAATAGCTATAAGCAAACCAGACTGCCAAAAAATATAGAACATATAAATATCCAATCCATTGATTTTTTGGTTTTGATTGTTTAATGGGGTATATACGTAAACCCACAATAAAACACAGAATAAAAAGAGGTCTAAAGGCCTGTTGAATAGTGATCACCATAACAATTACTATCTCAAACTAGTATGGACTGATACTCTTATAAATTTACTTGAGGAGCGCGTAGTAATTGAATTAATTCATAGTGGTAATAGAATTGTAATGAGTTTTGTAATTAGCCGCACTTATGCATATTAAAAAAATTGATTTTCTTAACAAACAAAGAAAATAATTAATCAGTTAATCTGTTATGTTATAATTTATAAAGATAATGCTGTTAATTTATTTTTTATATATTTAGATAGCTAATACACATTCCATGTTGTTTTTATCATTATAAGACACACAAGCGCGTGCTACACGCGCCATTGATTCTCTTAATTACAAGGAAATTAAATATGTACCACTGTCAAAAACTTTACAATGACAGCCGCTCACGATATAAACTGCATCGAAAAAATCAAACAACATCGCGGAAAAATGATAACATTGAACTTCGATACTATCGAAATATCAGATAACAGGCCTTTTTTAAAAGTGGATTGTTCTGTACAACGCAGAAAACGAAAAGGGAAAATTGTAGAAAAAAAGAAATAAAAATAATTTTATTGATATAAAATTTATTACGCCTAAAATAGATATGTGTACATTTTTTTGTCAAGAATTTCTTAAGATTATTTGCATTTTATTATAATAGCATATAATTATAAAATAACTTTTTAGCATATAATACAAAATAACTTGTAAAGCATTTATTACTAAAAATTATAAGAATTCTTATATTTCATAGCGCTATATTTTTCAAAAGACAGTGTTAAACAGAGTTTTTATAAATTATTATCATATTAGAGTTGTCCAAGAATTATTAAAATAAATTACTTAATCAGGATTACAATATGTATATCTTTACAACTTCTCTCTGCCAGAGCGCTTACAAATTTGAAGTTACGATTGGCATCTATGTCCTGAACATTGCAGCAAAAATTTGCGCAAGAATGATAATAAATGTTAGCATCGTCATGATAAACTGGAAAAAATTATTAATTATCTGTTATTTAGTATGATATAAAAACAGTATCTTAATTAAACATATTATAAAATGAAAACTAAGAATTAAAAAATGCCAGTATAATATATAATATATAAAAAAACATAAACAAAAACATAACTTTGTAATAATCGTTTGGTAATAAAGTCTAAGTTTAAAAAACTACTACAAAAATTTTATAATTTGATTAATAGTTTTTAAACTCTATAATTTTATTTAAAATGTGATAAAAATAGAATAATTTAAAATCTAATGCAAATAGGAACCTTTCGAAGAAACTTATTGCCAAAATAGAAGAGACCAATTCCATTGAACCTCAAGGAATATCGCATTATTTGTAACGTAAATTGATGAATCTGTATGTAAATAATCATTGCTAAGTTTTAAATAATTTATTTTAATTATGTTTTGGTACTGTAAAAATATTTTTTACCTCTTTTGAAACGTCATTGTATCGAAGAATATCTACCAATTGATGAATTATTTTGTCAATATTGTTGGCCTACAAAACATAAAAATTTGATACTACTGATATAATATACTTTTGATGTTTATATTTCTTACCTTAAATGTGACATTCTCACATATATAATTTACACTGTAAAGTCTTACTAAAAATATGAAAGTCCAGCAGATAGTATGAAACTGTTCGGAAAGTAATTCTCGATTTTTATTTATTACCATTAAACATAAGAAAAAACACATTAGTGGTAGATGAGTAACATAAAATATCATTTCAGAAGTAAGTTGCATTCTAAATATCATATGCAAATTGCGAGCGATACGACATAATTCCAAATGAAGATGCCTGTCGAAAAATATATTTTGTTATTAGAAAACACGGAAATTATAATAATTTATAATTTTTAATTTTTATAACTTATTTTTGAATTTTTTTTAAAGTACTATGTATCATTGTATCATTTTATATGTATCATTATTAAATTTGCTCTAAATCAATAATCAATCAAAATATATGCGTGTGCCAATTTACATTGAAGTCCATACTATTCGCTTGTAATTATTAATATGTAAAGAATATCTATGCACAATTACAGATTTTTTCCATGTACATCTCAACTCATGGTCCATTTTTTCTAACAAGCTTTGCATATGCTCGTTTACTTTATCAAATCTGCTACCAATATATCTGTATTTAAAAAATATGTATTTTATAATAATAAATAATTATATATGTTAATATATATATGTATAATTATGTGTGCTAACTTACTAAATGTGTATAAATAATTACTATTAATAAATATTCCCATACACACCGTAGAAATAATACAAATAATAAATCTATGATTGCGTTGATAAAATGATAATAGCATGTTATATTGTATATAACAAAATTCCAGGAAGCATTATTCATATACCACTGTAATGTCATATCGTAAATATTTAAGATAAGAATATATATAATCCACCAAATTATCACTTGTTTTGACTGCATATACATTTTTCGATACATTTTTGGAGTGCCAAGTTCTTCCAAAGTATCATCCACTTTAGCAAGTTTTTTCATAAGTATTTCAAATCTCTAAAACAATGCCAATTAAATACATTTATAACGTGTATATATATATATATATATACCCAGTCAACAAAATGTTAGCAGCCTGCTGGCAGTTTGCAAGCAGATTCGCTCAGAATTTGGCAGCAAATACGGTGCCATCTGTGTCCGCCTTAAGCTCGTGTTCTGTCGGTAGAATCTGTCGACATAGATTGACAGCAGATTGGCGGCAGAAAACGAGCAGATTCTGCGCAGTGTAATTTGGTGTCAGATTGTCGGCAGAAATCGAACAGAATCTGCCGTCACAATATAAATGGAATAACGGCATTTAAGTGCTTTATTACAATTTTACATTTCTTGTTTCGTTTATTAAAAGTAGTAAATGAGGTATGCAAAGTATATATGTAATATATATTTGCTTTATTCGGACAAAAAAAATACTTATGTTTTAATAAATTTATTAGGCAAAATCTCGAAATCACAGCAATATCGGGTCAACTCGCAGCGCATTTTCAATTTAAAAAATCAGTTTAATATTCTGAATCTCTTATGGGGATTGTATCAGACTATTGTATTAAACTGATAAGTTTCATTAAGCCACTGGCCACACTTTATATGCACTGTAGATGAAATTTCAGTACGAGTTTATATATGAAGAAATACGTTGCAAAGCGGCAAACAACATCAAATTGCACTGCGCAGATTTTGCTCGATTTCTGCCGCCAATCTGACATCAAAGTGCATTATACAGATCCTGCTCGATTTCTGCCGTCAATCTGATATCAAACTGCGTTGCGCAGGTCCTGCTCGGCTTCTGCCGCCAATCTGCTGTAATAATTCCGAGCAAATCCTACTCGGTTTCTGCTACTGATCTGCTGTCAAATTATGTCAGCAGATTTTGTAACATTTCTGCTGACATTCTGCTATCATCATTTGATGTAACAGGTTTTGTATACAATCTGCAGTCTTTCTGCTGACAGAAATTTGTAGCAGACGTTTGGCAATATCTGTTCGAACAGACTTTGCTGACTGGGTATATATACATATATATGCAATGCAAGTATTATTATACCTTTTGGTGATAAAGACTGAAAATTGCGGATGTAAACGTAGTAAAGATGCCCCCTATAAGACTTAGAATTTCTATTTTGTTGATTAGTCTGTAGTAAAACAAATAGCTATAAACAATCCAAACTGTCAAAAAATATAAGACACATAAATATTCAATCCATTGATTTTTAGGTTTTGATTGTTTAATACGGTCAAAACGTAAACCCACAATAAAACACAGAAAAAAAAGAGGTCTAAAGGCCTGTTGAATAGTGGTCATCATAACAGTTACTATCTCAAACTAGTATAGACTGTTACTTCTATAAATTTACTTGAGAAGCGCGTGGTAATTGGATTGATTCATAGTGGTAATGGAATTGTAATGAGTTTTGTTAACCGCACTTATGCATATTAACAAAATCGACTTGCTTAACAAACAAAGAAAATGATTAATCAGTGAATCTGTTATGTTATAATTTATGAAGATAATACTGTTAATTTATGTTTTATATATTTAGATAGTTAATACATTTAATGTTGTTTTTATCATTACAAGACAAACAAGCGCGTGCTACACGCGCCATTGATTCTCTTAATTACAAAGAAATAAAATATGTACAACTGTCAAAAACTTCACAATGACAGCCGCTCGCGATATAAACTGCACCGAAAAAATCAAACAGCATCGCGGAAAAACGATAACATTGAACTTCGATACTATCGAGATATCAGATAACAGGCCTTTTTTAAAAGTGGATTGTACAACGCAGAAAACAAAAAGAGGGAATTGTAGAAAAAAAAAAATAAAAATAATTTTATTGATATAAAATTTATTACGCCTAAAATAGATATGTGTACTACATTTTTTTGTTAAGAATTTATTAAGATTATTTGCATTTTATTATAATAGCATATAATTATAAAATAACTTTTTAGCATATAATTCAAAATAACTTGTAAAGCATTTGTTACCAAAAATTATAAGAATTCTTATATTTCATAACACTATATTTTTTTTAAAACAATAAACACAGTTTTTATAAATTATTATAATAGCATTATGTGTGTATCTACGAATTATTAAAATAAATTATTTAATCAGAATTACAATATATGTTTTCAACTTCTCTCTGCCAGAGCGCTTACAAATCTGAATCTTCAATTGACATCACTTCCATAATTAGTTTAGCACAAAATTGCGCAAGAATGATAATACTTGTTAGAATCGTCATGGTAAACTGGAAAAAATTATCAATTATTTATTATTCAGTACAAAAACAACACCTTATTTAAACATATTGTTGCACTCGCGACAATCACTCGCGAATGCGCTCACGCAAGAAATAATAAACTCAATTTGAGTATAACAAACTTTAATGAACTCAACGATAACACAATTTGAACCGTAACAACAAAACTTTCGTTTATAATTAAGAAAACCGTCTCACCTCCGAAACGCGTCTTCACGGCACCGAGGACCAAGCGTAACTGTCACTTGACACTTTATTTACAAATTACTAAGCAACGCTTCACAACTTATTTACAAATTACTAAGCGACGCTTCTCAATGCCAACTCGCAGCCCACACGTCACAATCGACGATTTCCCGCGGCGCGAGCGCAACAATATTATAAAATATAAACTAAAATTTAAAAAATGCTTTATAACATATAATACATAAAAAAAACATAGTAATAATCATTTGGTAATAAAGTTCAAGTTTAAAAAATTACTACAAAAACTTGATACTTTGATAAATAGTCTTTAAAATCTATAATTTTATTTAAAATGTGATAAAAATAGAATAATTTAAAATTTAATGCAAATAGAAACCTTTCGAAGAAACTCATTGCCGAAATACAAGAGACCAATTCGGTTGAACTTCAAGGAATATCGCATTGTTTGTAACGTAAATTGATGAATCTGTATGTAAATAATCATTGCTAAGCTTTAATTTTTTTTTTAATTATGTTTTGGTAGTGTAAAAATACTTTTTACCTCTTTTGAAACGTCATTGTATCGAAGAATATCTACCAATTGATGAATTATTTTGTCAATATTGTTGGCCTACAAAACATCATAAAAATTTGATATTACGATATAATACATATACTTTT